CTTCTCATTAAGGAGCCTTTTGGCCTCTAGGTACCCACTGTGTCTATCAAGGTGAAGACATCCTTTGATTAGGTCCTTGGGTTCTCCGTGTAAATACTGCTCTAAGTATTGCAGACGCACATCATTCGCGCTGACCTTAGCCTCTACTAGCGATTCAAAACTTCTTTTAAAGGTAAAGTACTCCAAAGGATCGCCACTAAACTTGGTCAGTGTAAGAGAAGGCAGTAAACTCTGTTGTTGTTGCTCCGCTAGTAATTCTGTTAATCTGTTCTGTTGTTGAAGGACTTCACAGAACTGTTTAGTGCTTTGATGTGTGTAGGCCATGTATCGAGGTTCACTCGCGAAAGGCTCTTCTTTCGGTTGTCCTAGTGGCTCCGTATCTTGCTTCGTTTCCGCAACGTGAAACTCAGGTGCAAAAGGATTCAGACTTGGATGCTGCATTGGCTTAGGAGGAGTTTGTATCATAGGAGCATCATATAAATCAGCGGTAAAGCTCACTTTAGTCATAGTGTTAGACGTAACGGTTGGAGACGTGTAAGCGCTTGAAAAAGTCGGAAGAAACGGCCCAGATGAAGTAGATGCCTGTACAGAAGAATCTTTCGGAGACAATTCTTGACGACCAGTCGAATCTGCATCGCCGACACCCCTTTCAATTTCAGCGAACACGCCCTCTCGAACGCGAGCAACTGCCAACTGCTCTTCGAGGCGTAACTTCTCGACTCTCAACTCCAACTCTTTCCTTTTTCCCAACATAGCAACTCTGGCCATTAACTCGGCGGCTTTGGCTTTCTCTTTCGCTCTGCTTGAGGTAATCGAACGGCTAGAATGTCTAGATGATGCCTTTGAACGATGCGATGTGGAATATATCGAGCCAACTTGAGATCTTGTTTCCAAGCTATGTTCGATTGTTTCTTTCGCGGCTGATATCCAGAGTACAGTTTTGTCCAAAAAGTCGTTGATCTTTCCACTCTGATTAATATACCATTCGTTCGCAACGTCCAAATCCTCCTCGGTCTCAAGATCGTTTAAAAGAGCAGCGAAACCCGACTTAAGCTCTTCCACGGAAAAACGAAATGAAGTTAAATTCCTCTCGACGACGTCCAAATTCTCTTCATCAGTCGCCAAACTATCGATTTCCTTCATTTGACGTTGGATTCTTCTAAATAAAGTCTGGCAATCCGTCCATTGAACATGAGCGATAAATGCTTTTCCCTTTTCTGTGCGCTGCCTTCGCCTTGTTACACCGGTTGCTAAGGCAGCATTAGCGAAATCCAAACTGTCGCTTTCCGTTCCAACTTGTTCCTCGATTGGATCCAAAACGTTTCAACGAAATATTATAGCGAATAATCCAAGGATGGTCCACGGTTCCAACTCGTCTTTATTACAGTTATAACGAATTACGATTACGGTTGCTATAAGCGAAACAAAAAATACAAATTACTAAGGAATACAAATGACAGCTATGAAACGACGAAAATACAGGAAACGGAAAGAAACTAAGCGAAAATACTTACAAACGTTGTGTGACTAGAAAGTTGAACGGAAAAAAGGTACGATGGCTAACAAGACTGGACGAAAAAACTGCAATGATGTTGCCGTGAACGCTAAAGCGAAATGAATTAGAATAAACGATGAAACTTACAAAATGATCTAAGAACAAAGAAAGTTATGCAGAGAAATCTAACAGAATATGAATAGCGATAACTGAAAAGAATGTGAAAGGAATGTCCAACTATACAAAGAACTAAACGCTAAACATATTGACGTGGAATGCGGCCGTAACAGTATTGCAAATCTCACTTTCGTCAAAAATGCCGTTGCACTATACTTTTATGCGAAAGATAATCTGCGATAAAGAGGAAAAAAAATCTTTTTATTTATGTTAATACAGTGCCAAATAATCTCAATTTTTCCTTGTAGAGGTCTTTCTTCGTTGATTATCAACGGTAAGTCACTGTGAACCATAGAGGCGGTACGGCCGAACAAGACACAAGGGGTGTCATCTCTCAAACCAGTGAACTTCAATTACTTCCTTTCAGTTAAAAACATGCTAGAAGAAGGCTTATTAGAACATAACCACATTACATTGAATACCACAGTATATTGTGTAACTAGATAACCGGAAGTTTATTCATGAGCCGACGACAATCCTGCTACACAAACTATCGAGCAAGCTGTCAAAAAAGCACTTAGCCGACTGCAAACCATAAACAATAATTTTTGCTTTAAAGCACTGATTAACAAATAACTGATAGCTTGCCTATTAATCTTACTCGGAGCCCCCGGAAAAAAGTCTCGAGAGGCCACCCCCACCTCCTCAGAAATTGCCTCCTTTTGGATCCCCCTGCCCTCTGAATTTCCGTTGCCCTCCTTGGGGGTATGGATATTTTCTGAAACTACACATTCATCATTTGTGGCCAATAATGTTGTATTAAGTAAACAATTTTGATCGGGGCTTATGAAAGAAGTTTTTCACTTAAACCTCCATAAAGAACAGTCA